TTAGCACAGAAACAGTACTATATAACATTTTAGACACATTCTAGACAGTTTATCAGCTAAAAAAAGTTAATTTTGGGGTAAGTTACTCTTTAAACAGATTTGGTCCCTGGAGTGGAGCTCGCAAATGATACTGAAAGCCCAATGTCTATTTAATTTGGGAGTTATTGTATATTTAAAATGCCTGTTCACATATAGAGCAGAAAAAAAGGGAATCAACCTTGTGACTCGATTTTAGAAAATTAAACAAAACAGAATCTGATGAAAGAACTTGCTGCTTGTTCAATCAGGAATACGAGAGAGGTGCACTTGAGGATGAGTACACAGAAAGTCTGACCCACTTTAAACTCAACCTGAAGCTGTTTTGAAAGAGGACCTAGTAATGTCATCAACTGGAGTGTCTTGTTTTACGCTACTTTTGTTGTTTTGCTGTTATTACTCATCGTGTTTTCAAGTACTTTGAGTGCATTTTCCAGTTGGGTTTTGTGTTTTAGTTTTGTGTGTTTGGTTCTGTGTTTTTCCTGAAGGTTTCTCTGAGGAAATGTTCAGTATGAATTTGACTGACACAACAAAATGCATGTTAAGGCAGCCCTGTGGCCCACGCCTCCCTTGAAAAAGAGGTCTGTGATCTTAGCGGGATCTGCCTGGTTAAATAAAGGTTAAATAAAGAAAGAAAGAAGAAAGAAAGAAACGTCTGAGTTGAGTTTCTATGATGTGAGTAGTAGTTCCTGACATTTTGTTTGAAATGGAGAGACAAAAAGGCAAAAAACATCGCTGGGAAAAGGAGAGGGAGACAACAACAGCAGGCAGATACGGCACATTGATAACCCTCCCTCTGTGTGTGTTCCTGAGGCATTCCCAGCTCTTTGAAGCAGGGAATCAAAGTGGGATGATGTTGCCTTCATCTGACCCCTGCAGTACTCTTAAGTCAGCCAAGCATTCACACAAAAGCTCTCTCACACGTACGCACGCACACATGACCCATCAAAGGAAGGGACAAAACAAAACACTTATGCCAAACCATATGAAAAGAAGGCTGTTCAAACATTTTAAGCTTGAAGGTATGTGGAAAAACATTTACTCCTAAATGATCACTTTATATATCCACTTTCAGATTTTTAATCTAATTGCTACAGTTAGCGGCAACTGCAGCACTGTGAAAAATGTTTTGAAAAATGTGTTAATCATTGTATTTAAATAAAAATACAACAACTACCGAACAAAGACTGTAAGTAAGTGAGTAGAAAACAAGTATTAAGCAAATAAAAGTGTCAGTGAACTCACCAGTAGACAGTTAAAAATGACGTAGAGGATCAGCATCCACAGGCTCTTGAAGCCCATGTGAAGTCCGGCCCACAACCAAACCAGAGAGATGAGCAGAAACAGGTAAAGGACCAGTGGCACCTCTGGAGCACAAAATAACACATTATCTTTGATGAAACGTCCCAGAACTAAAAATTAATAATATAAAAAAATTGAAGAAACTAAGTAACATGCAATTATATATTTTATAATGACCCTGTGGGCAGTCTTATCACCATCATCTTCAGCAGCAACAGGTCGGAAATTTCAAAATGTGAAAATCTTTGAAAACAACGAACACCGCATCATTCATACCAAAGAGGAGAGGTGTTACAAAATTCAAAAGCCTGCCTCTCTGATGGTATGGGGTTGCATTAGTGCCTTTGGAATGGGCAACTTTATCAGGAAAGGCACCCTAAATACAGAAAAAGTATATACAGGTTTTTTATGTGACTTGAGATGAGTCAGAATGAGCACAATCAACTAAACTAAACTAAACTAAAATAAAATAAAAACATAAATTTGTTCTAATTAAAATATGCATAAAAACTTCCTTAGGACACCACCTTGTAATTTCAGTAAATACAGCATATACACCAGAGGAGCACAAAGTGGGGCCTGCGGGCCAAAATTGGCCCGCCAAGCCATTTGGTTTGGCCCACCAGCAGCTGTCCTGCTACTAGGATGTATTCACATGTTTACTGTAGAAACACTATTTCCATTTAGTCATCCCAACTATTGGTCCAACTATATAAAGAGCTGTATGGCTGACAGTCTTAACTCACGTCACTTATTTGATCATAGAATTATATTAAAGTTAAACATACAAGCAACTACAAGAGACATTTAGATTAGCTTTAAGCACATATCTAGATTTGCATACTAAGACCCCAAATACACAAATTTAAATTTATGAAAAGCCCCATGAGCCTTTGGTGCATGTATGTATGTCAAATTTTCTGCATGTCCATTGGCTAACAAAAAATAACAAACAAAAAATGTGGGCCGCCATATTGACTGCTATCTTGATCACAAAAAAATAAAACAACTTTACTTAAAAAGTATTTGCATTTAATCTATTATATTATTGCATTTGGCCCGCAGGCTTCTGATCCATTTACATTTTGGCACTCCCAGGGAAAATGTTTGGGCACCCCTGATATACACTGTAAAAAATGAAATGTTGGATTTACTTAACCATGTTATGTTACCTGGTTCCACTTAACTGAGTTGAGTAAATTCAAAGCAATATACCAGTTCTTTAACCAAAGAACATTACAGTATGTTGCTTTGAATTTACTCAACTCAGTTAAGTGGAACTAGGTAACATAACATGGTTAAGTAAATCCAACATTTCTTTTTAGAGTGTAATTTTCCCTGCTCTACCTTTAAATCAAAGTTTTCTGACAAGTCTGTCTATAGAAAAATAAAATCTTTATATTTTAAAGATTTCTAAATCAACCATTTTTCAATATACAGCTGGAATTGCTAATGTTTATTTTAATATTTGAAATAACAACCATATATATTGACCATATTGTAAAAATGTTTACTACAGTCACAAAAGGCCTGCTGACTTCATCTTTATTTTTAGAACATGACACATGCAGTCTAACTACAAATGACAAACTGTGTAATTCTTTGGGCAGGTGATCTGTTAACCTATTAAAGGTGTGACGCTTCTTGTAGTTTCGAATCAAGTCGTTTCACAAGCATGGAAACCAGTACTAAAGGGTTTTTTTTGTGCATGTTGTTTACTTTGTGAATTTGATGCATTGTAGGGCAACACCACATGGATGCTGACTTGTGCTTTGCATCCTCAGAGATCTAAAATTACCGTTTAAAACAACACTGCTGAGTCAGTAGTTGTGGCCTGCTGCGAGGTGTTATGTAGGACACGGGAAACAGTTCACTTCACAAGTAGGATGGAAACACAGGGCACAGGGCCCAAGTTTGCACAAAGGTTCTCACTTAGGTGCCACTTCCATCACTCAGTCATTTCCACTCTGCTCAAATGTCTGCCTTTTATTCCCGCAGTTATTTTCCTCTGACTCAGCCTAATCATACTTCCTTAGCTCTGCTTTCTTTTTCTTTCTTCCTCCTGCATTCCTGTTGAGGCCTTTTCTCTCTGAGCTTTCCTCCTTTATCCCCTGATCGTTGTTTTCCAAAGTTTTGCCGTCATTACCTCCTCATCTATTCTGCTGATACAGTCTCACATCTAGGAAATGTGTTTAATTCTTTTCAAACTCTCTTTTTTTTTCTTGCTTCATTCCCCTGTTGTGTTTAGCTTTTTCTTCCATCTTGCACATCTGTCTCCTTCTCCTCCCTTCGCTGGGATTGATTTTTCCAACCATGTAAGCACATTCCAGTCTGTGGACAGGACAGAGCTCCCACAGTAAAAACAGGTTCCCAGAGCCAAGTGGAGACTGACTGCAAAACGCTGACTGACTGTTTGACTTGATACGACTGTGATGAAACGAAAAGGAGCAGAACAGGAAGATAAGTTTGTGTAACAGCTATATATATGTGCGTGTGTGTGTGTGTGTGTGTGTGTGGGTGGGGATTGTTGCATGAACGCCTGTGTCTGTGTCACTGTCTGTCTAGTGGAGCTACAAAGCAAACAAATGTTCTAAATCTCTAATCGGGCAAGTTGCAGATTCATATCATTTCAAGTGAATTTTGCAACAAAGCTGTGAAAACAAAAGAGTGAAACTAAACTCCCAAAAGTGAGAGGTGATATGTTTTTGTCTGTGTGCGTTCATTTGTCTGCAGCATCACAAATGTATATCAGAATGGATTTTAGTGAAACCCTCTGAAAGTAATCAGCAGGTATAAGTCTACATTTTAGAGCCAAACATATTCAAGATGGTGGCCACAGCTAAGCAGCCTGAGCAAACACAAAACATGCCTATAATTATGCTGATTTTACAGATATAAAGCTAAAGTCTGGTGTGGTAGTAGCTGAAAGTCTTTCTCAACACATGCTTTGAGGACTAACTTGAACGAGCAAGACATGTTTGTAAAACTTTGCTATGAACTCCTGAAGTCATCTGTGTGTGTCTCTTAGCAAAGCATCTCCCGAACCACTGGACAGATTTTAGTGAAACCCTCAGAAGGTAATTATTGCCTGTACATCTATAACCTGTTAACTTTCTGCGTCCCCTCAATTCAATATGACCCAGACAGACAATCAAATTCAGCCAACACAAAAAATGGCTGTAACTCGGTCAACTTTACAAATACTGAGCAAAGATTTTGAGTCATTTGAGTCAAACAACTTATATTATATAATACTTTACTATATGAAGCGATTAGGCGTTTAGGTAGTTGCTAAATTCTCTAATGTGCAATAAAAGACTGGCAGTGTTTTGTTATAGCTATATTTATGCATCAAGGGGAGAAGAAAAGCACAAGGTATTGGAGTGGATACACTTTAGGTTCTGAGGTCACTCTGGAGCAGGTTTTGTGAAGCAGCAGATACAAATGTGACAGATGTGGTGCAATCCTTCACCAAATTTGTGCACCTGCATAAATGACAATGCCCACCCAAAAAAATACTATTATTACATGCTATTAGATTTGACCTGTGCTGTTGGTCCGACCACGGTAAAGGTCATCGTAGGCCTTCCACTGCTCGGTGACCTGGTAGGCGTGGATGAAAATAACCAGTACTGCAACCAGACAGATGAGAGGCACCAAGACAGCCGTGCACAGAGCCGCATAGATGTTTGGAATGAAGCACCTAGAATGGAGATGGACATGGTTATTAACTTAAAAATAAAAGGCAAAAATAAATAAAAATAAACAAAAATAAATAGCTGAGATGTGATCGAAGGAAGGGGTTTAGTTAAACACATTGAGTAAAGAACATGTGTTGAGTTAGAAAGTAAGTTCTGGAAACACATTGCATGCCTTCATTGCTCTGTATTTAGCTCTAAGACCTTGTTTTTGTCCAGGTTTCATAAACAGGATCTGCTCACTGAGACCCCTGAGCCGTCCTAAGACTCAAAAATAGTCTTGCTCAACAGCAGCAGCAAAACACATAAAAGGCTTCAGAACCACCAGGTTCCCCTGCTGCTCCAGCTGGATAATCACTAAGATCAACAATCCTTCAATGTGTTTTTTCTATTTATGAAAAGACCAATTCAGGAACAATCATCTCTTTAAACATTGGCTGGTTCTGCTAAACAGCACAAGTGATTTTTCCGTTTTTTGCTCATAAAAATAAAACAACTTCTTACAGTCACCTAAGATGTTTGAACATTTTTTACATACTGTAGAAGTGTGAGACCAAACTTCACCATTTCTGCCTCTGTTGTTTTCCTGGGACATTTCAAGAATAATTTCCCAGTTTCCTTCAGTCAAACGTGTTTACAAAATAAGAATGGAGTGAAATGTATTTTTTTTTTCCGCTCTGGGAAATTCAACGTGCCCAAATAAACAGTAGCTGCCGAACAAGGAGGAAAACGCCCGAGTCGTTTTCACAAAACAAGCTGTTCGGTGGGAGCATCAAACACAGATAGGACATCTGCAGGCTGGAGCCACCGCTGCGGATAATTAGAGCTCGCACAGCCAAAACATAAACGAGTTATGCCAAATAACTTCTTGCATCATCCTGTCCCACCGGCACAGCTGGACGACGGGTCCGAACCTCGCTGGAATCTGGGCATTGGAGCTGCTGGGGTTTTGTGAGGAGGTGAGAGACGACCGGACTGAAAGTCTCACATGAAAGAGGAATGTGAGGGATTCCTAAAGAGGGTGAAGAAAACATAACCCGTGGGCCTACTTCACACGATTCTGAAGCTCGTGAGAGGAAAAATAGAGGAGTGGATTTTTGGAGAAACGCTGCTGGGAATTTCTCTTTATAAGGCAGTGGGAGGTTGTGGGTCGAATAAGCACAAGTCTTTAAAGAACTATTCATGTAAAGATTTTAAAAATAACCAAGAAAAATGTTTCCATCACTTTTATTTGAATTATGGGACTGCAAGATATTCAAGCAATGAAATTTACATTTCCGCCACTGGGTTTGCACGATAAAGAAACCAACGTGCCTTTGACTTTTAGTGTTCAAACTAATTCCAGACTGCAGGATCCAGGTAACACAAACTGCCATTTTAGACCAAAATAGACACTATTAGTACTAGAGTTGGGCAAAATCGTATAATGTGCACATAATCATCAGAAAAACAATTCATATTTGTTGCTGTGCAATTAATGCAATTAGTGCCACATAATGACCTATATTTGTGTGACACTCACTACCAAGCATGCATCTGCTGCCATTCAACATTGCGGAAAAGGTAGGTTTCATTTCACATCTTACTATTTTACTTTGTTAAAATGAAATAGTTCGATTGAAGTTTTGTAAGAATAACTTGAAAACACAGGTTAACTGATTAAGAGTTAAATATTTGCATGTGCGATTACAGTATCGTCATAATAATTGTCACTGGCTAAATGCCACAATTAATTGTGACAATTTTTTTTGCCAGTAATGCCCAACCCTAATTAGGACCCTGTTCACTAAAAGTCAAATTAGGGAATGAAATTGTGGTTCTGTTTTCAAGGATGATTAAGTGTTCCTGAGTGAAACGTGTCATTAATTACTAGAATTAGATTTTTTTTTCAAATCGTAAAATTTAAACCAGGGCTTTTCAACTGGCGGCCTGCGGGCCACATGAGGCCTGCAAGAGACCAAAGTTTGGTCCGCCAATTGGTTCATTCATCGCTTAAGCCCAAAATCCCCGGTTTTCTACTTTAATTACTCTAAGTTCTTTTAGTTAAACATAGATATGTTTGGTATCTACAGAAACATCAGAATCTTGGCTACGCTGCAAGCTGGTAAAAAATGTTTCAAAGAACACTCAAGACAGTTAAAAGGACAAGCAGTTGAAAATAAAACTATGAAAGTGAAAATAAAATTGGTTTAAAAAGTTGGCAAGTCAGATGTAAAAATAATATTTGTGTTAAACAGGAGGCGTAATGTGTTCTTTTTGTTTTTGATATTGTTTTATTATCACTACATTTATTACACAGGGTTCTGTATGTTGTAATCATGATTAAAAACAGCAAAACAAACTATTTCCAAAGGTAAGAGATCTTTGTAATACTTTTTTTTATTTACAGAATAACTACCGTAATTGCAGCTGTTAGCCTGCAGTAACTGTGGCCCCCAGAGTGATTTAGCTGAACAGCTCTGATTTAAAGCTTACTATATGATGTTATCAAAGTGAAATTATTAAGGTTATAACATTTACTTTTTGTTTTCTGATGCATGCATTACTTTCTGGACTAATTTTAACGAAACTTTAAAAATTGAAAATTGCTTTAATTCAGTCAATTTTTACAAATATTGAGCTAAATGAACTGTAGTAATAGCTGAGAGCCATCCCAATCAAACGCTTAGAGAAAATGTGCATAGAACATTTTGATTTAATTTGATTTAATCTTCGGTTTGATGTGATTCTGATTAATTAAAAACTAAAAATCAACATGCTGGGTGCAGTCCAGTTTAACATCTCAGTCACTATAAAGATAAATGAAAAAAAAAAGGTATAAACACAGGATAGAATAAGCATCTCAGTGGTTAGAGCTGTAACAAGTTGAAAGGATGATTAACTTTTAATCTTCTTTTCTATTTTATTCTCAACCATTTACAATCAGCTTTAACATGGATGTAGCAATAGCAACTAAAAGAACTGTGTGCTTCACTCGCTGGCACTCCCAGAAACAAGTGCTCCAGAATCACTCAGTGACGTAAGGCGAGATCTGTCTGAACACTTGTTCTGTACGCAGGCAGGGCGAAACTGAGACAGCTGGAGCGGCGAGAAAACAACAGGCAACCTATTTACTCTGAGGAGGAGAAAAAGAGAAGGGTGCATAAATTCAAAAGCTGCCTCAATCCCTCAGAGAGGAGGGACAGCTCTCCGTGAAACTGAATACTCCTCTGTGTCCTTAATGTGCGCACTCACTGTCTCGCTCACCACCCCACATCCACAGGAAACATGCAAACTCACTTCAACCCCAAGGATAACAGCCACACCTAAGACCACCGGCTAATTTAAGATGGGATTTAAGGGTCCAAACTCCATTGACGTTAAGCTATGCCCACTTGTTCACACATGAAACACACAAAACAATGAACAAACTGAAAAAAAGACAAATCTAAAGATTTTGTCCATTATTTCAGAAAAGATCATCTAATTTGTTGTGTTCTAAACTTTTAGCTGCACTAAATATAAACCACAACTCATCATCACTCCAAAGGTTACATCTCTAATTTCCATGTCAAATGACACAAGTAAGCTTTCTGCTTTCTTCTCTCTGATTGGTTGAACTACCTCCTCATATGATGTCACCGGCTCAGGTGTTTTTCTTTTGCTCTGCTCGCATCTAAAAAGGAGTTTCCCTCGGTTTGAAAAAGAAAACCGCAGTCGACACAAATGACTCAGGGCAGGTTATAACACACCCGCCAATGTTGGTTTATAAATAGACCGATTGACCGAGTTCATGTTCCTGTCACTGGTTGTAAAACTTCATTTGTGTGTCTGTTTAAACGTGTCGTTGACTCACACGTCTCCTTGCACCAGACCGTACACAGCGTGTATGTTCCATCCAAAGCCTCCGAGCAACACGATGACCAGGATGATGATGACCAGGGCAGGAAGTCCCCAGCCCAGGAGAACGTAGAGCAGGTACCGCCGCTCTGTGTGCTCATCGTTCATCACCAGCACTTGCCAGAAGTTCACTGCCTGAGGGAAGAGTTCAGGGAAAGCACATGTTTACAGGAAGTGGGATCAGAATAAAGAAAAGGCACCACATATGACAGTCCTGTAGAGAAAAGAACAATCGCTAGCATTCCTTGAAGGAACACATTTATATCAGAGTTTTGAACTAGAATCGTCTTAAGTTGAGAAGGGACGAATGTATAGACATTTCCGACAGCAAAACTTGTCTGGCCCAATTCTGGTCCACATAATGCACTAATATTCTTAACATTTGGCTCAGATACCAGAAGAAATGAGGGTCTTTTGGTGGCCCATATGTAATTTGCCAGGAGGTCCACAATGCCACATAAAGCAAACTACAACTGGGCCAGTTGTGGCATTGACAGATTTGGATCCCATAGAACAAACCACAACTGGGCCAGTTGTGGCATTGACAGGTTTGGGCCCCAAAAAGCAAACCACAACCGGGCCAGTTGTGGCATTGACAGACTTTGATCCCGTAAACCAAATCACAACCGGGCCAGTTGTGGCATTGACAAATTTGGGCCCTGTAAAGCAAACCACAACTGGGCCCCTTGTGGCATTGACAGATTTGGATCCCATAGAGCAAACCACAAGTGGGCCAGTTGTGGCATTGACAGATTTGGATCCCATAGAGCAAACCACAACTGGGCCAGTTGTGGCATTGACAGGTTTGGATCCCATAGAGCAAACCACAACTGGGCCAGTTGTGGCATTGACAGGTTTGGATCCCATAGAGCAAACCACAAGTGGGCCAGTTGTGGCATTGACAGATTTGAATCCCATGGAACAAACCACAACTGGGCCATTTGTGGCATTGACAGGTTTGGATCCCATAGAGCAAACCACAAGTGGGCCAGTTGTGGCATTGACAGGTTTGGGCCCTGTAAAGCAAACCACAACCGGGCCAGTTGTGGCATTGACAGACTTCGATCCCGTAAACCAAACCACAACCGGGCCAGTTGTGGCATTGACAGATTTGGATCCCATAGAGCAAACCACTACTGGGCCAGTTGTGGCATTGACAGATTTGGATCCCATAGAGCAAACCACTACTGGGCCAGTTGTGGCATTGACAGATTTGGAACCCATAGAGCAAACCACAAGTGGGCCAGTTGCGGCATTGACAGATTTGGATCCCATAGAGCAAACCACAACTGGGCCAGTTGTGGCATTGACAGATTTGGATCCCATAGAGCAAACCGCAACTGGGCCAGTTGTGGCAATGACAGATTTGGATCCCATAGAGCAAACCACAAGTGGGCCAGTTGTGGCATTGACAGATTTGGATCTCATAGAGCAAACCACAACTGGGCCAGTTGTGGCATTGACAGGTTTGGGCCCCATAAAGCAAACCGCAACTGGGTCAGTTGTGGCATCGACAGATTTGGGCCCTGTGAAGCAAACCACAACTGCGCCAGTTGTGGCATTGACAGATTTGGATCCCATAGAGCAAACTACAACTGGCCCAGTTGTTGCATTGACAGACTTTGATCCTGTAAACCAAACCACAACCAGGCCAACAGTCAAAGCTAAAGTTTTAAGTTAAAATAATCACTGAGCATAGTGTAATGCTCAAAGAATGAGTTGGAGATCATGCTCAGCAGTTACCACACCAAATCTTAGCTCAACATCTCTAAACTAACTGAGTTATAGAAATGTTTGTGTTTCCTAAGGTCAGTTGACTTTGGCAGTCACCTTGAACTGGATTAACTCTGAGACTTAATCAGTTGTAGATGTATAACAAGTGATTACTTTATGAGAGTTTCATTACAATCTGTTCACTGGTTCATAAAAATATTTTGGTGACACTATAGAGAATATAGAGAAACAAGCACACAAGCAACAATATTATTGCCTCCCTGAAGGCAATAATAACAAACATGTACAGGTGTGTGTGATAGTTCAATTAGTTTCATACTAAATGCTTGTGAGAGCATTTGGTTTACATAAAACGTGACCAAAAACACACACATCTTGCTAGAATCAAACTCAAAATAGACCACTCTGCTTTGTAATTTAGCAGGGTTTTATAGTCCCGTCCATCCATGATACACTGAGCCACCCATAGTTACATAAGCAGGTTTTTTAAACACCCGCTTTGCAACACAGACACATTGTCTTACCACTGTGTGAAGCCTCTGCCCTGGACAGAGGTAAAACAAATTTGAATATATTTTTATTTTATATTTTAAATTGACAGCAACTGAAAGAAACTCAGATTACCACAAAAGAAAGGAGTAGCTGAAGCATATGAAGAAGACTAACAGCTAAAATAAACGCTCCTGCTGATGTTCATGTTCATCTGTTTGCAAACACTCAAACATGACATTTGCACAGAGGACAACGTGATACGGCACATGACAGCAGGGTAACAACCACTGACCTCTCCCTGCAGTAACTCTGATAACTTGGTCATTGCTGGATTGTATAACAATCCAAACCAAACTGCACAAACACAGACAAACAGATAGAGTATAAGCAGCACCAAAAACCTGCTGGCATTCTGTTGTGCAACGGTTTGGCTCGGCTGCACTGAGACAATAGAGGGAAACAAGGCAGATCCAGGAGCTTATGTTCTTAAAGAGTGAGCAGGGCCGGAGAGATCCAGAAGACTGGATTACAGGTAACACTGCGCTAGGTTGTTGCCTCTGCAGTTTCACTGCTGATACACATCACTGTGTAGCCAGGGAGCACACACTCTAAAAATGAAACATGTTATGTTACCTGGTTCCACTTAACTGAGTTGAGTAAATTCAAAGCAACATACTCATGTTCTTTGGTTAAAGAACTGGTATATTGCTTTGAATTTACTCAACTCAGTTAAGTGGAACCAGGTAACATAACATGGTTAAGTAAATCCAACATTTCATTTTTTACAGTGCAGGATCCACATCTGCAGGTTTTCTGATTGCTTTTTTTAGGTTATAGTTAGAATAATATTGACTGACCGAAAAAATAATCTTGGGATCTGTGCTGCATGATAGATCATGGAATTAAAAAACAAGAACAATATTTTCCAATATATATATATANATATATATATATATATATACACACACACACACACATTTGTGTAATGACAAACAACACCATGCAAATAAAGAATTTAGCATTTTCTGTAAAATTGCACTGGCTGAGTGTCAAAAGACTTGTCTGAAAAACTGAATGGCTGAATTTAAAAGAAGTAGAAAGAAGCTAAAACAGGCAATCCCATAGCTTAAAGGTATATTTAGCGAAACTGCAGCTAAAAGTTAAAATAAAAAAAATAATTCAAAGGAGCAAAACAGTAGTTAGACGCTAAAAGCAGCATAAGAAGATAAAACAGAGCATGTGTACTGGAATAGATAAAAAAGATGGATCTTTTAAAGAAAAAATATTAATCTATATATATTTCTTATACACAACTGAAAGCTTTTTGCAAACGTTTCTTTGGCTGCTCTTGTCTGCGGTGGTCGCCACAGTAGGCAAACTCAAATGAAAGATTTATCAATTGATTTATACTGGATGTTGTTCCAGATGTAAACAGAACTCAAAGATTATAAGACCACAAAGCAACAGAAGCCTGACATTTTTTTCCCTAGCTAAAGTTAAACATTTTGCAAAGGGTAAATGTAATAAGTACTGTTTCCAATGGAGCTGATTGTTTTTTGAAAGGTTAAAATAGCACAAAGTATGCAGAAACAAATGAATTGCTGACTCAGGATTCACACAGTTACCTCACATGATTAAATTTGATCAGAACAGTTTTTTTCCTTCCCAGTGAAGGCTGGAATGATCTTTCTTGAAACCATTCGGCAATGAAGAAGCTAAAGGTCACGTAAAACACTTTTTCAGAGGGTTGTTCACATTTAGTAACGAAAGAGACGAAATCTCCAAAAGTCTTCTGAGAAGTTTTCATTTGTTGGAGAAATTGTTGACATTTTGCCACTTGTGACCCAGATTACCTGCTTTTATGAAAGTGATCGTTCAGATATTTTCTTGGGTTCTGTGGAAACATGTTGAATAATTAATATCTCACCTGTTGTGGATAGCTCCTTAAACAAGCTCAGTTTGGAAAAATAGAAATGAATTCAGACAAACTTGAAGAAGAAATGTCTAGTTTGTGTTCTAAACTTACACCAGATATTAAAGAAATGCTGATTTCAGAGTTTTAATTGTTCATCAATCCAGTCAGAATTAAACAGTTTCTCCAAATTGAGATTATTCACAGAGCCATCTACATCAGGTAAGATACTGTTGATAACTCATCCAGAGAACCCTTCTTCAAAAGACCAGAACTATTTATTTCAAGTATTTTTGACAGTACAGGTCATCTTTGAGGTGGAGTTCGATTAACGCAACCACACCCATTTGTCGGCTCATAACAAGCTGTAGTGTCTAACTACATGGCTGTGAAATAGGTCTTCTATTGTTTGACCTTCAGACTGGCACAGTGAGAAGAGTAAACACACACACACTGCAAAAACAGATCAGCTGAGCTCAAATACCTGTTTTGTTTTCTAAATCTGCAAAGATAAAGCATGTTGGGAGCCTCCGAGTCAAGAAATGGCTTTTCAAGCGAGAGATTAAATTACTGGCATTAAGCCAAGAGGTATGTTCCCCACACTAGTCGGGATGCAGATTTCTGCACACACACAGGGCTGATACTGATTCAAGCCTCAGTCTGTGATGGGTTGCTGGCGCCCGTTTCCTTCAGCCACTTATCTGAAAGCAGCTATCTGATAGGGCGTTAAAAAAACAGAGCAGTAAGGGAACACGGTAGAGATGACAATGGGGGTTTTGGTGCCACACGTTAATGTAAGCCAGAGTGGCGGCAGATATTCTCGTCAGCGAAATATCTGCTGACAGACAATAAATGACCTGAGCTGCTTTTAGGCTGAGATATTGATGGAGAAGAGCAATTTATGAAAAAAAAAGCCTCCAAAGTGATTGTCGTCTTCATGCAGCATTGCCCGTTAGTTGAATCCTTCCACCAGATCTAATCAGCTCGAACAACAAACATGCGTGCCTAAAACCAGTTTGTAAAGCATTTAATCTCAGTTTCAGCTTTTGACAAGCAGATTGTAACACTTAGCCTTTAGCTTGAGTGCTTATTCCCAAAGAAATTTTAGAGGTTTATTATCGGCTTAAAAAAAACAACAACATTTTTCATGCGTTCAGCACTCACTGTAGGTCACAACTTAGATTCATTGGGCCTCATGCAAGAACCGTTCGTGCGCACAGATTTGTTCTTAAGTTGTGCGTACGAGTGATTTAGGAG